ATTTTTTACCTGTTTTTTTGCAACAATTAATATTTTCTCGAACATACAATGAAACTCCTCCCCCCCTCCCATTACATCTATCCACATTGAACAACTTAAATCCCTGAATATTACACTCAGCAGTCATATCCCGACTCTTTAAATCATACCACGTTTCAGTTAATGCAACGATATCAAAGTTCCCAGCACATGCTACCAAACGTAGTTCATTAATTTTATTTCTTGCACTTCGACTGTTAGCATAAAATACCATCATATGTTTTTTCTTCTGCACATTTTTCCTATTCATCTTTGTTTTTACACAATTTCTGAAATTATCATTACCCAGTGTTACTCCATGACAGTTACTATTAAGATTCTTAATATCAGAGCATAAGTCAATATATCCATACTCATTATTAATCATTTCTAAACCCATAACTCTAACTAATCCTAGTTTAAAGTCCTAACAACCCCCTCAACTGAGCTAGCAAGAAAACCCACACCTGCCCTGGATAAGTGAACCCCATCCCTGGCATACATGTCATTTCGGCCATAGAAGTTGTCCCTTCTTTGCCTCCATAGATAACGTTTTTTGTCTCCACATATACCTCGACGCACCACTCACCTTTTTTCCTTCATCAGTTCTTTGATTAACCTCATCCTTCGTAAATCTATCCGCTGACTCGTCAACTCCCAAATATCTGAAAACATTCACTTCTTCCATACTACTCCTCTCCAATTTGATATCCATTATTTCTTTATCTAAATCATTTGATACTCTCATCATCATGCTCTTTTCTATGTTCACTTTCAACTTTCTACCTTTACACACACTCCCATACTCGTCCACTAACCTTTGCAATTTTTCTTTAGAATCTCCCATAAGCACAGTATCATCAGCAAAAAGTAACTGTGTCAGTTCCCATTTTGTATTTGATTCCCCATAATTTAATCCCACCCCTCTCCCAAACACCCTAACATTTACTTCTTTTACAACCCCATCTATATATATATATTAAACAACCATGGTGATATTACAGATCCCTGTCTAAGACCTACTTTTACCAGGAAGTAGTCTCCCTGTCTTCTACACACTCTAACCTGAGCCTCACTATCCCCATAAAAAACTTCATAGCATTTAGTAACTTATCACCTAATCCATATACGTACCTGCAACATCTGCCACATTGCTCCTCTATCCACTCTATCATATTTTTTTTTATTATCACACTGGCCGATTCCCACCAAGGCAGGGTGGCCCGAAAAAGAAAAACTTCACCATCATTCACTCCATCACTGTCTTGCCAGAAGGGTGCTTTACACTACAGTTTTTAAACTGCAACATTAACACCCCTCCTTCAGAGTGCAGGCACTGTACTTCCCATCTCCAGGACTCAAGTCCGGCCTGCCGGTTTCCCTGAACCCCTTCATAAATGTTACTTTGCTCACACTCCAACAGCTCGTCAAGTATTAAAAACCATTTGTCTCCATTCACTCCTATCAAACACGCTCACGCATGCCTGCTGGAAGTCCAAGCCCCTCGCACACAAAACCTCCTTTACCCCCTCCCTCCAACCTTTCCTAGGCCGACCCCTTCCACTACAGACTGATACACTCTTGAAGTCATTCTGTTTCGCTCCATTCTCTCTACATGTCCGAACCACCTCAACAACTTTTCCTCAACCCTCTGGACAACAGTTTTGGTAATCCCGCACCTCCTCCTAACTTCCAAACTACGAATACTCTGCATTTTATTCACACCACACATTGCTCTCAGACATGACATCTCCACTGCCTCCAGCCTTCTCCTCGCTGCAACATTCATCACCCATGCTTCACACCCATATAAGAGCGTTGGTAAAACTATATTCTCATACATTCCCCTCTTTGCCTCCAAGGACAAAGTTCTTTGTCTCCACAGACTCCTAAGTGCACCACTCACTCTTTTCCCCTCATCAATTCTATGATTCACCTCATCTTTCATAGACCCATCCGCTGACACGTCCACTCCCAAATATCTGAATACATTCACCTCCTCCATACTCTCTCCCTCCAATCTGATATTCAATCTTTCATCACCTAATCTTTTTGTTATCCTCATAACCTTACTCTTTCCTGTATTCACCTTTAATTTTCTTCTTTTGCACACCCTACCAAATTCATCCACCAATCTCTGCAACTTCTCTTCAGAATCTCCCAAGAGCACAGTGTCATCAGCAAAGAGCAGCTGTGACAACTCCCACTTTGTGTGTGATTCTTTATCTTTTAACTCCACGCCTCTTGCCAAGACCCTCGTGTTACAAAAAACGCGATTCTAAAAGCTTAGAGATCTCCAGTGAATACTAGAAAGGACAGCCCTTCTAGCATCCAGCCTGTTACTGGGTTTTCGTAACAAGTAGTCAGTATCCTTGTCCAATTATCCATTAAAGTTCAGTATGGTTCAATAGTGCTTTAGGATTACAACTGGTAGGCTACTAACTAGAGAAATTAAAATTTAATAAATTTATTAAGTAATAAGTTGTCTAGAGGTATATTATCAAATTAAATTAATTACAGCAATCAAAATAAAATCAATCTCTCGAGTTCAATATTATTGTGCTGAAAGCACATATCACATTTATAATTCTTAAGTACCGTCAGGTACATTAACATTTAATAAGATATTACAAATATGTACAAGTGTGTGTATGCGTGTAAGTGCTCTTAAGTAGTTAGCTATGTCTCAAGACTCGAATAAGACTTAAACAAGTGACTGACAAAGTCCTCAAATAAACTAACTTCTTGACTGACTGGCAACCCGAACAGTCTGCTTGAACAACAAAGAATGCTAAGCCCAATAGCAATGCAATATCAAGCGACTGCGACACAGAATCAGGAACTAGGAAATAATATAATGACACTAAGTAGGGACCATCAGCAGATCCTCCACAAGTTACAAAACTCCCATAAAACTGAATCTACGTTCAGCATAGGAAAAACTGTGACTGTGACAATACACAGGAACCAGTACAAAATTAGGTCAGAAGCTATAGCTAAGGACCTGAGATGTTCAGAGTGTCTAAGTGACACACAACCTCAGTACAACGTCGAAAATCACTAAGTCTTTACAATGTTCTGTGAACAAAGTTCTACAGAACTAACAAGAGTAATGAGACAGACAATCTGTCCAACCAGCAAGCGAGTCTCCAGCAGACTGACTACTTCACGAGAGGTGAGGACACCCCCCCTCGATCACGTGATAGCTACGTGGACAACTGCAGCTCAGAAGCCGGCAGTATAACGAGCGACAAGCGATAATTACAGTCGTTTGACAATCAAGCCTAACTGAGCACATTTTATATACATCCTAACAACATAAGCTAAATAACAATATAACAGTCAAATAATAATATAAAGTCATACATTTACGATTTAGCTATTATCGCAAATATAAGCAATATAAAATTATATGAAAAGATAATATACATTACATATATACATAATAATCATTGTAACCCATTCAGGGGTTGCAACACCTCGCATTTACTTCTCTTACAACCCCATCTATAAATATATTAAACAACCACGGTGACATCACACATCCTTGTCTAAGGCCTACTTTTACTGGGAAATAATTTCCCTCTTTCCTACATACTCTAACTTGAGCCTCACTATCCTCGTAAAAACTCTTCACTGCTTTCAGTAACCTACCTCCTACACCATACACTTGCAACATCTGCCACATTGCCCCCCTATCCACCCTGTCATACGCCTTTTCCAAATCCATAAATGCCACAAAGACCTCTTTAGCCTTATCTAAATACTGTTCACTTATATGTTTCACTGTAAACACCTGGTCCACACACCCCCTACCTTTCCTAAAGCCTCCTTGTTCATCTGCTATCCTATTCTCCGTCTTACTCTTAATTCTTTCAATAATAACTCTACCATATCATATGTCTTTTCTAAATCCAAATGAAATGAAAACTTCCCTACCTTTACCTAAATACTGTTCATATATATGCTTCAATGTAAACACTTGATCTACACATCCCCTACCCACTCTAAAACCTCCTTGCTCATCCGCAATCCTACATTCTGTCTTACCTCTAATTCTTTCAATAATAACCCTTCCGAGCACTTTTCCTAGTATACTCAATAAACTAATTCCTCTATAATTTTTACTATCTCTTTTGTCCTCCTTCCCTTTATATAAAGGAACTATACATGCTCTCTGCCAATCCCTAGGTACCTTCCCCACTTTCATACAAGTTATGAAGGAATTTACCCCATGAAACCCTTAAGTATGTATGTTGATCACTTCCTAGACAGTTGAAGGATGTCCTAAAGTGCAGGGGATGACATGTTACGTGGTTGTGATTTGAGAGAGGCCAGTATATGCTTTAATGACAATCACTGTATGAATAGTGTAAGTGTGAGGAAGAACTTTTGAGACCACTTTACTCAAGGAAGGTAAGACCCTGGAGAACTGTGTAATCAGATAGAGATAAAACATCACATATACAGTACATAGTGATTGCTTGGTAGGTATACTCATTAATGTCATATGTCTTTTATCAAAATTATTTTGTTGGATATAATTTTTGAAACAATAGAGAAGCAAGATTTTATCTTTTCTCTCCATAACTCTTTTCTTTATCAGAAATAAAATTTAGTTGAAATTGATAAACTGAATTTAAACATTTTATTTGGGATTTATATTTGTATAGAAAATAAATATATATATATATATGTAGTATATAATTTTTTTTTAATTTTCAAGCTTCCCCAGATAGGCCACTTTATCTTCTTAACTCTGAAGACGCTCAACATCTATGAGGTACCACAATATGAGCTGGAGCGCATGCTGTTAATGCCCCGGGCATCTCGCACACTTGCAATGCTCCTCACATCACTTTTGTCATCACCTCAGCAAAGACAGAAGTTAAATGAAAAACCTTATATGCCCTATAAAGTATGGGCCCGAAAACTAGCTCATAAAACACTTTTATGGTATAGGTGCTATTATCGGGAAAATAAAGACCCTCAGAAGGTATGTAAACTAAATTATTGTTTTCATTATATTTTTCCAATAGATTCACTCAAATGTGTTGCTCTTTTAAGTAGTATATTGATCTCTTGGCTTTCTCTCTCCACATACTATTTCCCTGTTCAGTTTTTGAGGCCAATATTTATTTTAGAGCTCCACGGGGAAATGGAACAGAATTCTTCCTCGGTAAGCCATGCATGTTATAAGAGGCAACTAAAAATGCTGGGAGCAAGGGGCTAGTAACCCCTTCTCCTGTATGTGTTACTAAATTTTAATGGAGAAACTTTAGTTTTTCCTTTATGGCCGCCCTGCCTCAGTGAGATACGGCCAGTTTGTTGAAAGAAGATTTATTCTAGAGATGTGAAAAGAGCTTTATCCTTAGAGTAGACTTCAGTTCATGCAGTGTTTACTCTTGAAAGTTTTATAAGCTCTTTGAGGATTATTTTTTATAACACGGTACCCTATACTTTCATTTAATTTAGAGTTAGACTTTTTCACCAGAAAAGAGTTGTAAAGTAGGTTAAATATATTCACTCACATACTAGATTGCACAGTATGCTATGTAAAAAGCTGATGAAGTTATAATCTTTAATGTTTTTTTTGTGAAGATTGAAGCTTGTAACTGCCAACATTTCCCACAAGTTTTCAGTTAATGGATGTAGTACAGTATTAGTGTATATACATGTACTATATTAGGTACAGGAGGGCCGCAGTTTACAGTGCTTCACTTCTAGGGCCTTTGCTAATATGGACATTTCAAATTGGGCCTCAGAATTTGTTTATACAGCTCCTGATTTACTATCACATCCTGAGCTCCCGTCTGGGCGTCCATGTGTCATTTTCTTTCTCTGTTTGTTTACATTCTCCGTGAGCTCCATGTCTCTTTTGAGTCTGGAAAATTTTCAAAGTCTCAAGTGTTTTAAAGTTCTTGCATATTATATACTATACTCTGTGTTACAAGGTAATTGTTATAAAAAGAGGAATCATAGTCTCTTACTTTAAGTGCAAAATTAGAAATGATTAAACCTAGTGAGCAAAATACAGTAGTGTGCACATTAATTGGGACAGGAGTAAATTTTGTGATTCTCATATGTCTGTCTCCGGCTTAATTAGTGTAGTTGGAGTTTTTTTTGTTTCAAAAGAATTTGCTATAAACTTCGGACAACCATCCAGCCGTGGTGTTACTCTCTGACTCGTCAGTGTTACAACAGCTGTTGTTCTGTAAGGCTATTCCTGTAAGTGTGGTCTGTGAGTTACATGGTTTTGCCAAATTCTCCCCTTCAGCTCATGATGGATATTACAACTAGGAAGAGTACAAGTATTGTATCTCTTAGAAAACATGCTGATTTCAGTATCAGACAGATTGCCAAAATTTGAGCCTAACAAGGTAAACTGCTGGTTGAATTCTGAAGAACTGATGACACTGGTGATTGTGGAGTGCTGCATTGAAGAAGACTTGGAAGAAAACGCTAGACAATACCTCACGATGACAAGGTTATCATAAATAGCATGAAGGATCCCAAAACAACCAGCAAAGATCTACAGAGAGATTTAGCTTCAGCTGGTGTAAATGTTGATTCTTCAGCTGTTTGACAAAATCTCCTTGAAGTTGGCAGAACTGCCAGAAAGCTGGTAAAGAAACAATTACAGTTGACCCTTGAACAATGCGGGGGTTAGGAGCACTGGCCCCCCACATGGTCGAAAATCCATGTATAACTTTTGACTCCTCAAAAACTTAACTACTAATGGCCTACTATTTACGGAAGTCTTACCAGTAACGTGAACAGTCGATTAAAACACATTTTGTGTGTTTTTTTTTGTGTGTGTTATACATATTATATTCTGTAGTCTTACAATAAAGTAAGCTAGAGAAAAGAAAAATGTTATGAAGAAAATTATAAGGAAGAGAAAATACATTTACAGTAGTGTACTTTATTTATCAATCCCGCAAGTTTACAATATTTGTTTACAAGATATATCATCTGTCTGTCAGTACCTACATCAGTATTGTCTTTTATGATACAAAACACTAGATGTTATATGTATTACTACACTAAACATCAAAAATGAGGAGATAATGTGAAAAAGAATTTTATATTTATTTATGACTTAATATTGCATCTTTACGTATGTTTCCATTTCTCTCGACTGTGAATGGAACATGTACAATCTCTAATAATATATTATTATTATTATTATTAACTTTTTTCTTTTTAAAATGCTGGCTGTCTCCCACTGAGGCAGGATGGCCCTTAAAAGAAAAACACTTTCACCTTCATTCACACATAATCACTGTCTTTGCAGAGGTGCACAGATAAGACAGTTCAGATGTCACTCCAAACAGCAAATATCTCAAACCTCACCTTTAAACTACAGGCATTGTACTTCCCACCTCCAGGACTAAAGTCTGGTTAACCAGTTTTCCTGAATCCCTTCACAAACTATTACCCTGCTCACACTTCAACAGCTCATCAAGTCCCAAAAACCATTTGTCTCCACTAGCTCCTGTCTAACACACTCACACTTGCCTGCTGTATGTCTGTCTAAGCCCCTTGCACACACAACCTCCTTCACCCCTTCCCTCCATCCTTTCCTAGGATGACCCCTACCCCACTTCCCTTCACTATAGAGTTATACACCCTCCAAGTCATCCTGTTTTGCTCCATCAACTCTCAATACCCAAACCACCTCAACAACCCCTCCTCAGCCCTTTCAATAATACTTTTAGTAACTCCACATTTCCTCCTAATTTCCACACTACAAGTTCTCTGCATAATATTTACACCACACATTACCCTTAAATACAACGTCTCCCCTGCCTCCAGCCTCCTCCTCACTTCAACATTCACAACCCGTGCTTCACACCCTGGTGGCCTGATGGCTAAAGCTCTCGCTTCACATGGCGAGGGCCTGGGTTTGATTCCCAGGCAGGGCAGAAACATTGGGCATGTTTCTTTACACCTGTTGTCTATGTTCCCCATCAGTAAAATGAGTACCTGGGTGTTAGTCAACTGGTGGGGGTCGCATCCTGGGACACTGACCTAATTTGCCCGAAATGCTCACCATAAGAAGGGGCTTTCTATGTAGTAGTATGTCATTGATGTCAGCTAGGCCTGTATACCATGTACATGTACTTGTAGTAAATAAAGATATTATAGTATTATTATTATTATATAAGAGTGTTGTTTTCCATGGGGAAGTGGAACAGAATTCTTCCTCCGTAAGCCATGTGTGTTGTAAGTGGAGACTGAAATGCCGGGAGCAAGGGGCTAGCAACCCCTTCTCCTGTATATATTACTAAATTTGAAAGGAGAAATTTTCGTTTGTCCTTTTGGGCCACCCCACCTCAGTGGGATACGGCTGGTGTGTTGAAAGAAAGAAAGAAGTGTTGTTGGTACCACTATACTCTCACACATTACCTTCTTTGTTCTAGCTGCTGGGTTAAGCTCTGGCACTTTATCTATGACTGTGGACACACTTCTCCAACGCTGTTCTTCACCTGTCCTATCTTCCCAGCTCATCCCGCATGGGGTTTTCCTAAACACTCTTGTCTTGTCTTCTCCATTCTTTGCCTCCGTGGATAACATTCTTATCTTCACAGATACCTCAGTGCACCACCCACCCTTTTTCTTTCATCAGTTCAGTGGTTTACCTCGTCCTTCATAAATCCCTCCACCGATAAATCTATTCCCAAATAACTAAACACATTCACTTCTTCCATGCTCCCTCCTTCCAATCGGATATCCAATTTTTCTTTACCTATCTTGTTTGATACCCTCATCATCTTTACTCTTACCTATATTCACTTTCAACTGTCTTCCCTTACATCCCCCCTCCCCCAACTTGTTCATTAACCTTGGCAACTTCTCTTCAGAATCTCTAAAAAGCACAATATCATCAGAAACAAGTAACTGTCAACTCCCATTTTGTATTTGATTCCACATAATTTAATTCCACCTCTCTTCCCAACACCCTAGCATTTATTTTTACAACCCCATCTATAAGTATGTTAACCAAGGTGACATTACGCATCCCTGTCAAAGGCCTACTTTTACTGGAAAGTAATCTCTCTCTCTCTTCTACCGTATGCTTTTGCCTGGTATACTTGGTAGGCTTATTTCCCTATAATTTTTACACTCTTTTGTTCCCCTTCCCTTTATATAAAGGAATCGTGCATACTTTCTGCCAGTTCCTAGGTAGCCTCACCCTTTTTTATACATTTATTGAACAAAACTACCAACCACTCCAAAACTATATCCCCACCTGCTTTTAAGATTTCTGTCATGATCCCATCAGTTCCAGCTGCTTTACCCTCACTTTCATTCTACCCAATACTGGCTTGTGCACCCACTTTTGTGGGTTTAGCACTTAGTTATTTATTTATTTTTTTTTTTTTTCAAACAAACCTGCCGTATCCCACCAAGGCAGGGTGGCCCAAAAAGAAAAACGAAAGTTTCTCTTTTTAAATTTAGCAATTTATGCAAGAGAAGGGGTTACTAACCCTTTGCCCCCGGCATTTTAGTCGTAACTTACAACACGCATGGCTTACGGAGGAAGAATTCTGTTCCACTTCCCCATGGAGATAAGAAGAAATAAAGAAGAATAAGAACTAGAAAGAAAATAGCAGAAAACCCAGAGGGGTGTGTATATATATGCTTATACATGTATGTGTAGTGTGACCTAAGTGTAAGTAGAAGCAGCAAGACGTACCTGAAATCTTGCATGTTTGAGACAGAAAAAAAGGACACCAGCAATACTACCATCATGTAAAACAATTACAGGCTTTCGTTTCACACTCACTTGGCAGGACGGTAGTGCCTCCCTGGGCGGTTGCTGTCTACCAACCTACTACCTATTTTTTTTTTTTTTTTTTTTTTTTTTTTTTTAACAAGTCGGCCGTCTCCCACCTATATATTATGTTATTATATTGTATTTTTAGTCTAAATCTGAGCCAACATTCAACTGAAAGCAGCTGTCTTTACTACACAGCAACACAAGCCAGT